AGAAGGGGTTACGCCCCTTGGACCGGGCATCTTTTGGGACAGCTGGGTGTCCCAGCTCCCGTTGTTCCCAGCGCCACATTCCCTCTGTCCTCGGTCTGTCCCGGGAGGAGCCGCCCCGGGAACCGTGTCAAGCCGGTGGAGGGCGTAGCTTTTTAAAATGAGATTACCCCCCCCCATCGGTGCTTCCTTCTTGATCCGAATTGAAGCGCGGGCTTAACAAACTCAGTGCAGGACGGCCAGGGTTAATGCTTGACTAATACTGGGCGTTATTTACACCCACACTGTGAAGTGGAGTTCCATAGCTCTAGTCAGGCCTGGTTTTCCTTTGCTGTGGCTGTCCAGCAGGAAACAGGGGACGTAAGAAAATCCAGAGGAGAAAAGTTCAAGTGTTTGCTTTATGTATTTTTTCCCCACCTCGAGACGTACAAAGTGCTGGAATATGACTAAAGGGCACCCTAAACTTTCATTATTTGTAGCGCTTTTTGATTTTCTCATTTAGTGACTCAGCATTTTTGTCACAGTTTTTGTACAGTAAGGTTGATTGATTCCAAACGGTATAAGGATAAAGAGTGACCGCTATTTGTGTTGTGTTATCACAATGGGAAGAGATGCAGAAAAGGAACGAGGAGCTAGAGTGCAGGGTACGGATGGATACATTCTTAATCAGTGCTTGACGGTTCCACAAACCCCAGTGTATGCCGGAGGAGAAGGTGTGAAAAGCTGCAATTACTGGAGAGTGCATAGCATTGAGGGAGAGTTAGCTGGCCAAGTTTACCAGGGCTTGAGTGTCTTGAAGAGTTAGCCGGGTTTAACCCGCATCACGCTCTGTTTAGCAGCTACAGAGAGATGATGACCTCCACTATTTAATAGACCCATACCGAATAAGACTTTCGGAAAGTGTGATTCATGTAGGAAGTGAGGTCACACTCACTGTGTGAATCATTGATACGGATCTTCATATTGAAATAGTGGAAAGCTAAGTTTGTTTCTCCCTGTTTAATTGGATAATTTTACTCTTTTTGTAGCAAGTGATGTTTAATGTTTGGTTCTGTCTGTTGTTGGGTGGTTATTGTCATGCACTGCGGTTGGAAATAAAACTTAAAAGCTTGCAGAATGTTTTGATTTATAATCCTTTGTTAGTTACTACATGGACTGCTGTGATTTTTACCCCCCTCCTTTTTTTTTTTTTTTAACCAGATGTGGGAAGACAAATGAAGGGGTTTAGATGCCAAATAAATGTCAGTGGAAAGAAGAGCTACCAACACTAAGGTACGAAAAAGTACTGTGGGAGAGTCTGTACTATATAAAATAGCTTTTTGAGTGGGAAGCTGTAGAACTTGGCATTCTAGCCTGAAAAATGTTGAATGAGTCTACACTAACTTCTGTTCTGTTCTGGAAGAAATTGTGTATTGAAGTTTTGGTTTATTTTTAGAATCAATTAATTTGAAACTAGAAATTTTTTTATTGCTGCAGTGTAATTTGATCATTTTAGTCTTTCAAAATGAGATGCAAAATAACTTTGTATCCCACAGTTCTTGATAGTGATGACCTTGTTTGTGGGATTTTTTTGTTTTGTTTTGTTTTTAGAGACCTGACTATTTTACCTTGATTGACAGTTAGAAGTCCTATTGACTAATTGGAAAGTAATATCAAGTTTAGTTTATAGTTGTTGCTTAAGACAGACATTCCTTTAATTCTTTGACTACATTTTGGCATCTTCTTCACTTTGGGTATCCATTCTTACATTCAGAGTGTTCCCTAATGTTGCTTTTTGTTTTTGTCCTGCTGATAAGATGATGACTTAGGAGTTTCTGTTCTTTGTAAACAAAGATTCCCTTTGGAAAATCCCTTGTGAAAACCTTACCGGGGATAGTCTTGATACATAAATACTTAAGGGAAATCTTTTTAGGTTAGGATTAAAGTACCTCCATAGTGAAGGAAAAGAGATAGGAAATTTATTTGGCATGGTATCTCTCTTTTGCAATCCAGAAACAAGTGTTTCATGAAGAAGGAGGGAGTGAGTTCTGGCACAGGTCTTTGTGAATTGCTTACCTGTTCCTAGAGTGAGAAGGAGCAGAGCTGACGATGTGATAATGAGGTGGAGTGAGACCTCTTGTGCACGGTGGGAGTGAGAGCGTTGAACTGTTGGAAAGGAAAGAATTGTTCTGTCCTTACCCAAGGAGTGCTATCTGCTGTCCCTACAGAGCAATGTGGTTTGTAGCCTTTTCCTATTAGATAGTTGTTTTCTCTCTGGAGAGTGGATGGAGGAATCGATCCCTTTCCTGGGAAGACATACTACCTTATCCAGTTTGCAGATAAAGAATACTCTAACTAACATTCAAAGCTCAGCTTTTAAAACCTTAGAAGGGAAGGAGCTGAGCAGAATTTACTCTGTGAATGAAATATCTTCACCCCTTTCTCCAGTTTTCTCCCTGAAGGCTAATAGGTGGGAGGACTATCTTGGGAAATGAGTGACTGACATTGCACTTTGCACTTTAACCTTTTAAACTTTTGCTCAACAGTAAATTAGTCTAGACTTAAAAACAATTATATTTTAGACTAAAATTATAAATTGCATAACTGGGCTTTTGTGCTATGTTTTCTTTTGCTAAGTTAGTTCCTTATTCTGATGGTTGGCACGGGGAGCCAAGAGAATGCTATTTCTTGGGTAGTCACGTGATGTAGGTGGGTTTTCTGTGTATGCTCTTCTTTTAGTCCAGGGGTAGGGAAGGAAATAGGTGAAAACAGAGACAGTGGAAAGAGGGAAAACGACATACCTAGAAAGAAATGCTGGTAATATGGGTCCAGTGGCGTTTGTGAGCCTTTTAAAGATTGATAAGACATGTATAAAGAAACTGTCATATGAGGAAAAAAGTTTCTTTTCTGCAGACTGAATTTATTAATTTTCTGTAGTTTTACTAAATCCCTACTAGTAAACATTAGGTCATTTTTAGTCTTCTTTCTGTAAACAGTACTATAGAAAAACTTTTGAACAAGTGTTTGGCAGTTTGTAAGTGTACCCGTGGCATGTAGTTCTGATTGAGGTTGGTGAGGTTGTGAACATGAGAAATTCGTTTTATACTAGACTCTATTTTATAATAGAAGATAATGTTTTCTCAGCCACAGGAGGAGGAAGAATTTTAGAAATTACTTTACTATGAACTGGGCTTCATATCATGTGCCTGTTGTCAGCATTTGGGAAGCTAAGCCAGGTTTTTGAGAGTTCGAGGCTACCACAGTCTATACAGCGTGCAATAAGACCTTATCTCAAATATGTTTTATGAGTCAATTTAAGACATTTTGTAATGTCAGATAATTAATTTGAACTGGTAAATGTTAAAATGCCATAGTTTAACCCTGGTATCAACAAACGTAAACCACTTATATATGGTAAAATGACTGTAACTTTTAGGTTTGTTTCAGAGTTTATATTTTCTGTTAATTAAAAACTTTTATATAGTGGGGTGTGGTGGCACACACCTTTAATCCCAGCATTTGGAAGGCAGAGCAGATCTCTGTGAAGTCTGTATAGCCAGTTCTAGGCCTGTTAGGGCTAAATACATAAAATAACAAAAAATAAAAAAAACAGCTTTATATAGTTTATGTTTTTGCTCTTCTAAAGTTAACTGAAATTAGTCATAAAAGAAATAAATGACACACTGTTTCTTCCTTATCTTTCACATCCGAGTTTGTCTATTCAAGGTAGACTAGGTGATGGGACCCAAGAGCCAGAAATCCCTCTGCAATACAGAGCAGTGTTGGTGAATTCCTGTGTCAAAGAGGAAATAGGTGTAGATTTAGACTATTCTGCAAAGAGTTGGTGAGCAGAATAAGGGAGGTTCAAAATTTAAATTTGAAGTTGTATAGGTGACTCATGTCCAGGGTGAGGTTCAGGAGCCTTTGTCTTTTTGAAATGAGAGACCAGCGAGAAATAAGTACTGAGAGGCTCAAGTGTGGTGAAGCTGGAGCTCCTGAGTGGCAGTTCCCCTGGATGGTGTCCAGGGTCTATTTTGAGGCCCTGTCAAAACTTGCCTGACAGATCTACCACATAACTGTAATCTGGCCTGGCCCTGCTGCAAGTCAGGAAGACCTGCGGTTTAGGGAAAGTGGCAGCTGCAGAAGAGGGAGCTATGAAGATTGTTTGCCTTCAGAAGACCGGGGCTGTGTTCTGGGGTGAAAATCTGCTGAGCGTCTATATTACTTATTCTAGCATCCAAGTGTTTTATGTTTTAGTATCCAGGTTTTTGTTTTCTGTTTTTTGGAAAGAGTTTGATTATAGAGACCTACAGAGAAATTTTTTAGAATAATGTGCATAAGGAGAAACATAGGATTGTCTTAGCTTAATGTCTTATATCTGGTTCTGGGAGCACATGCCATGAATCAGTCAAAATGGGGTGTGTGTGTGTGTGTGTGTGTGTGTGTGTGTGCATTGTTATGGGTATAGGGAGGCCATTTATTTGAAATGATCCATTTCAGAGTTCTTCACACTTTACTGGGATCTTGGAATAACGGCTCTTTTACAAGAGTGTCTGGAATTCTCACAGCTAAATTAGTTTCTTATTCTATTTTTCCATGAAA